TTCCCAGAACAAGTATGGTGACTCGTTGCAGACGACATACCCAGACCTTGCCGACTTTCAGGCGGCCGGCGGCAAGGTGATCCACGTGCACGGTGAAGCCGATGACTCGATCCCGGCGGGCTCTTCGGTGCACTATTTCGAGTCGGTGCGCAGCGTCATGTTCCCGGACGTCAGCTACGAGGGACGGTGTGCAGCAGCTGCAGGACTTTTACAGGCTCTTTCTCGTGCCTGGCGGCGCGCATTGTGGGAGCAACTCGGCGCAGCCCGGCGGGGGCTGGCCGCAGACGACGCTGCAGACGGTCATCGAGTGGGTCGAGGGCAAGACGTCGCCCGACACGCTGAGGAACACGGGCACGAATGCTGAACTGTGTCCCTGGCCCCTGCGGCCGATGTGGTCTGGCAATGGCACCGAGGCCGAGTGTGTCAGCGACGCGGCGGCTGTGGCGACGTGGCAGTACGACTTTGATGCGTATAGGGTGCCGTTGTACTAGATATTTGATCGAAGCGAATCTTCGTTAGTGATGAGTTCACTTGCGACGCGCATGATGCTATCTGACCCTGCTGTGCTGACCACTGTGCTCCCCAACACGCTTGATCGATGTGATGAAGCGCAAGTACTTGAAATCTAGACTCGGGAGATTTTCGTTCCGGGTGATTGTGAGGGAGTGGGCGCTGCCGAGGCAGGAATCGTAGCTATCTGGCAGGGAAATTCTGTCTTTCTGGGCCTGGTTCGGGTTCTTGCTGCTCACCGATTCCACTCAACAATCTCCAACCGACCTTTCTTTGAGTTTCTCCTAGTACGGGTTCACGCTGAAGATTAGATGCTTGCTGAACAATGTCGAGCAAGGGCCGTCATGCGCAGCCTGTTCTCGGGACACGGGAGATCTATCAACCATGAATCAAAGAGCCAAGTGCCTTATCCTTCAAGGCGGAAGGACGTACGTGGTGCATGGCCTTGATGATGCTCCAGCGTTCGGCCTAGGCTTTTGTTTCGGCGTTCTGGGACTAGTGGCACAGCTGTGTTCGTCCTGTGTCGTGATTCGAGGAGCAGCGGTTTGCCATGGCATCAAGATGGATTGTGCGGCTTGAACGTTGTGCCTTTTTCAGGACGCACGGCTGGAGTCATGTTTCTTTCTTTTGTTTTCTCTGGTGCTGCGTCTGGTTATTGGTTCCAGCGAGCGTACATGCCTTGGAGCTAAAGGTCCCCGTACCGAAGGCGGTGATTGTTTTCTGTACAGTGTGCCTTTCCTTCTAGCCGTCTTTTCAGCGTTGGAAAAGCATGCTACTCGTTTCTCGGAGAGGGCCTTTCTTCCGAGGCCGACGCGCTTCTTACTGTTCTGCCATTTAGCATCGTTGTGCTCCCTTGTCCAGAGCTGCCAAACGCTTGGAGTCTTTGACTGGTTTGACTACGAATGTGAGTTCCATGTTGGTCGTGAGGTGGCCCTGCGGAGCACCCAACAGGGGGGCCGATCAGGGACTGAGGGCTACGAGAACGTGGATATAAGGACTGCGAAGGGCCCTCCAAGCTGCGGAGAGCCATGGCTCAACCTCATGATTCTGCTCTAGTTCAAGTACCGACAGTGGCCACCTTCTCGGATGCTTCGCATAGTGGTGGTTGGTGTAAGCACGAGGGTGGAAGCCGGGCTTTCTAATGACTAACAGAGTGTTGGGAGAGAGGAATGGACACCCAGGCGGCCTCAGTTGTCATGTACTTACCATGGAGGTTGAACGTCAGACACCCAGCGCGGGCATGGCTGAGAAATACAAGCTCATAGCGTTCCATCGCTGTCAATTGAAACCAGTCTGCTCATTCTGTGATTTGCGGTTTCGTTCTCACAATGTCTACCATCAGAGAGGGCTTGTTGAACCATTTATACGTCATGTTTGATTTCATATTTCAGACCCACCAAAACCGCGAATACATGGAAGATTGCAGAATTGTACCTCTCTCTACAACTATGAGCGCGCGAGGCCGACTGGTTCCCAAGTGACCTGTGCTCAAAACCCCAGAATTGTGACCGGGAACTGTGTTTTCACTGGCAACGGCTAGGATCGGTCTCAGTCTCACATGCGCGTACAGACAACCGGGGACCACAAGGTGCCTCGAAAGAAAAAACCAGGTTCCCCTCACGCAGACAACGCAACGCCGTGTCGCCTGCACTGCACCGCCAAACCACGCATCTCTTAGCTTTGTTTCCTCTCGAGATCGGCCCTTGCCGTGGTGGCGTCGTATTCCCCGGAGCGAACCCCACGGCCGAGGAGCCCCATGCTGCCCCCCGACCTTTCCGTGAAGGGGGGAGTCTTGAACTCTGGCAATGCCAAGAGGCACCACGGAACTTGCGACCTTCCACATCCGGGCTGGCTCCCGCCGATCGCCCGGCTCGGCGCCCAATGGAGGACCACGCGTTGCGTTTATCGCATCGACGGTCACCTACCCGATCCAGGTTGACGGGCTCGGCGAGGATCCGCTGCGTCGATGAGACTCGCAGGTCTTTGCGGGCAGCTGCGGTGCTTGGCGAGTTGGCGGGAGGGGAAAGGAGCGAAATCGTGGGCGAGGAGGTGAGACAAACGGCTATCAGTGGGTGGAACGTCGAAGGGTAATCTTGTGGTGCTTGTGGTGCTTGTGATTATATAAAGGTGGTTTTTTACGTCTCTCCCCTGCGACTTGACTGTGCACGGCGCATCCAACGTTTTCTTCTCCGACACTTTTGGTTGCATCATCTTTGAGATTGACAAAATGGCTCGCTCAATTGTGCAACTTGGTGCCTCTCTAGGCCTGCTCGCGGCGGCAGCAATGGGCAAGGAGATGGCCGTCGATGAAGCGAGGGCGGCTGAGTTTTACGATTCGGGCGTGGTTCATGAAGAGATCATGAACCACAAAATGGTATGGACATTCAAAATAATCAATAGATATGCACCATGCTGATCAGAGAACAGGAGCTGTGGGCTGCGGAGAGGGAGTCTGGCGTGCGCAACAGCGACCAGTACCCCGAGCTGGGCTACACGCCGTGTGTTGACGGCTGGATTGAAGCGATTCCCGGGGACCGCAACAACACCTTCAGGTGCTTCAATGTTTGTTAGGCCCAATTTCGGCGAATCTCGGCCATAGCCTGAGCCTCTCTGACTGACCTTTCCCCCTAGTTTGATCTCACTCACTTCCTCAGTCACGGTGCCCTTGGCTCTTCTGGTGCCGGCTCTGGCTCCTGGGGATGGGTGTCCGATGACGGCCGTGAATTTGTCGCCATCGGCCAGGAGGACGGCACTACCTTCGTGGAGATTACGAGCGAGGGCATAATGGTGAAATTGGCGCACCTCCCCCAGGTCTCTGCCATCTCTGACTGGCGAGAGCTCCGTGGATACAAAAACTACATGGTCATCGGGTCCGAGGCTGTCGCGCACGGCATCCAGATCTTTGACATGACGAGACTTCTCGACATTGATGTTGAAGCGACAGGCCCCGTGCAATACGATGCCATCAGTGACCTCGCTGGATACACCAATGATCTTCCCATTGGTCGCAGCCACAACGTTGTGGTCAACGAGGAGCTCGACTACATTGTCGCGGTTGGAGCGCAGCCGCGCAACGACTCGTGTCTTGCTGGCCTCATCTTCTTTGACATTTCCGAGGGAGTCGAGAACCCCAAGCGACTGGGCTGCGCTGCCGGCGACGGCTACGTTCACGATGCGCACTGCCTCGTCTATCGTGGTCCCGACAAGAGGTATGACGGCAAGGACATCTGCTACGGGTACAACGAGGACTCTTTGACAATCTATGATGTCTCGGACAAGTTCACAACCAACATCATTTCGCGTACCTCATACGAAGGGGTCAATTACACGCACCAGGGATGGGTCACCGATGTCAACAACCAAGAGTTCCTGCTGATGAACGATGAGCGTGACGAGCGCTATCGCGCAGGGCCAGCCTCGGACCAGTTCCCCGTCGTCTACATTTGGGATATTCGCGACCTCGCCAACCCAAAGCAGACAGGCATCTACAAATACAAGACCAAGGCCATTGATCACAATCTATACATCCGCGACGGCATTGCTTTCCAATCGATGTACGGCTCGGGGTACAGCCTCCTCGATGTGTCCTCGGTCGGCCCATCGGATCCTACCGGCTCCGGCATTTGTGAGGCCGCCTGGATCGACATTTACCCCGAGGATGACAACCTACCCGGCGGCGGCATTGTCGAGTTTGTCGGTTCTTGGTCGTCGTACGGCTGGTTCCCCTCCGGACATCACTTCATCAACACGATCGAGCGCGGCGCCTTTGTTGTCAAGCCGACGAGCCTCAAGTGCCCGCCGCCGCCCGTCTGCAACGCCGACAACTGCTTGCGTGCCTTGCGTAGTAACAGCGTCGAGGGCCGCCTCGAGGAGAGCCAAGAGTTCTGTGCCGGGTACACTGCCAACCTGATCAAGGAGGTATCGGTGCTGCCCGCCTACGCTCAGAAGGCCTGTACCGGGGATGCCGTGTCTCGAGTGAGCAGTGCTTGCTCTTGCCTGCCAACCCCTACCGGCGTCTAGGGGCACATGATGGCCATCGTGAGGTAGAATAGATTACGATTAGCTAGCTGTGGTATCTTGAAGTATTGCATTCTTGATCATCTTTTTCCCTTCCGAAGCACATTTGACCACGTCAAGGCGCAGCAGGGCTCTCGGAACCCTTGACATGCCTCTCCCGAAAGCCGGCGAGCCAGTGGTCGCTTTCGGCAATGGTCCAGTCAAAGGGGTCCGCCGAACCATAGACGATCCGTCTCGACTCTTCGCGGAACATCTCATCCGTCGGTATGATACCCATGCGCATCTGATGCCGCGCGAATCGGCCGAGGTGCACTGCCAATGTGTCGTGAAAGGTGGCCGGCAGCGCCTCGCCGGAAGACTGCTCCATCCCCGCCGCCGTCGGGTAGGCGTCTTCGGCGCCGCCGCCCATGTCAGCCGTCTGCGCGCCCTCACCAGCCCAGCTCTCGGAACCGGCCATTCTGTTCTGGTTCTTGATAATCTCGTGCACCTGCGACAGGTGGTCCTTGGTGCCGGGGTCGGTCGACGAGAAGGGCACGGGGGCGCGCGACTCGAGGCCGATGAGGTAGGGCGGCAAGTCGTTGACGACGCGGGCGGCAATCTCGGGGTCAAACCCGTGCTCGCCGACCCAGTCCTGCATCAGTGCGCCGGCCTTGAAGTGACGGGCCAGGTGCTCGACGCGTTCGGGCCACGAGGCCATGCGGGCGTCGCAGAAGCCGCAGCGCGCCGCGACGGCGGGGGCCTCGACCTTCCAGCCGTCGATGAGCGGCGTCGTCTCGAGCTTATGCGCGAGCCGCAGGTGCTGGATGAGATGGTCCTTGCGCGTGAAAGACGTGCGGCGCGCCGTGGGCGGCGCAGCTGTCGTGGTTGTGCGCCGCGAGGTGGCTCGGGTCCGGGTCGAGCATGTTGCAGTAGGCGCAGTGCGAGCGGCCCGTCGCCGGCGAGACGACGACGCCGCCGTGCGGGCAGCAGACCCAAGACTCGAGGGACAGGTGAAGCGACTTTTCGTGCCGCGCCCAGTCGTACTTGCTCTTGAACGTGTCGCAGCAGAAGGTGCACTGGAAAGGCCGCCGGTCCTTGGGTGCCTTGCCCGGGAGGTTCGGGCTGCGGTCGCGCTTCGGCCGGCCGATGCGGTTGCCACGGGATCCGGAGGACCGCCGCAAGGTGCTCGGGAGGTTGGATGAGCGCGCCGATGTGACGGACCGCGACGAGTGGCTCGTTCGGCTGCCGAAACTGCTCTGCGACGTGGGCCGGCTGCCACGCGGTCGACTGCTGCTGTTGTAGTTTGCTGCCGCTGCCATGCCTGGAGCATCGCGTTGCTGCTGGCGGAGAGCGCCTGCAATGGCCATGAGAGACGCGGCCTCGTTCTCTGGCGGCGACTCCTGCCATCGTTGCATGGGGTCGAGGGCGTTATCCGTCATAGCCGCCGGTGTCGTCGGGATCGTGAGGGGCGTTGACGACGTAGTCGCCGGCTCGCCGCTGTTTCGGAGATATCGACTTCTTCGCCGTGGCAAGGTGGGCTGCCGATGGGAAGCCATGAGAGGCCGCGGGCTGCCGAGGCTGGAGGGATGGCTGAATCGGAGGGAATCGTTACTCCGTGTACCCTGAGGCATGCGTGGCCTCGGCTCAGGAGGGGTGCTGCTGTTGTTGATGTCGTTGCTGCCGTTGTCGAGCCAGGTATGAGGCATCTCTGGCGTTGCACTTTGGCTGTGAAAAGAGGTCATGGGATCGTCCGGCGGAAGGGCATCAAAGGATAGATCCAGGTTGTCAAAGGTAAGAGGTTCCCCTGAGTAGGACCCAGGGTACGAGTGCGAGGGGTTCACATCGAAAGGATGCATCGCCGACAGGCTGCCTTGGAGTTCCTCTGTGGTGCCCATCATGCCCATTTCAGAGGGGAGTCCGAGTTGTGCTAGGTCCAGATCAGAGAAGTTCATGACTGTGTTTGCGTCGTCAGCATCGAAGTTCGATTCGTATCATCAAGCGTTGAAGGTGAGATTTACCGTCGCCCTGCATGTCATCTGGAATGCCCTGCGCCTCGCTCACTTGGTGCTGTTGCGGCGGAGACTGCTGCTGCTCGCTGGACCGCCGACGAGCGTCGGTACCATTGTGCCACATGCTGGGCAAGCAAAGCAGCTACCTTGAGAACAATAGAGTTTCGGCAATTGACAGCGGAACCCTGGCTGACAGTCAAGTAGAATCCAGAGACAAACACATGGGAAAGCTGAAGGGGGAAAAGGCGGTAGCTCGTGAGGAGAGTGTGTGTGACTGGTGAGTCTTCCCAATCGTGACAAAGTTCCATGCCGCTGACAGAGGGCTTCCATCGAACCCCTCCATAAATCGGAGGGGTCTCGACCAGGTAGATTCACGTAAGACGCCTCTAGCGACCTATGAGGTTTGGCGCCATGCGCATTAGGGGCTTCGGCATCAGCCGGTAGCGGGCCCCCTCCAACTCACTCATGATGCCGAGTCAGCAGGTTTTCCGTTTTCAGGCGTCTCGAGAGACAGTGGCGAAGAACACCATGTGCGGTCAACTCGACGTGCTACCTAGCATGAAGACGATAGGTCAAGAGGGCAATGGTGAAGCTTTCTGATTAAACTGCGTGGCCTGGGGAAATAGATACAGAATGGGTGTTGTGGGATGATAATGATGATCCACCTGATGATGCACGTGGGGAATCCAAAAAAGCCCCTGGCCGTCTGTACTGTGTCTTCGGCAAAACACCAAACTCAGCCGACAACGTCTGCTGTTCAGTGGCACATCGCGAGATGAAGAGAAAGGGAAGTGAATTGGTCAGTCGAAGCTAGCGCCCAGAGGCTTCATTCACAGAGAGGAGCGCGCCGAGTGCCTACTTTATATTTCAAGACGTCCCAAGACCTCACTGAGATCCGGACGACACTTTGCTGTGAGCCGGGGCCAGTGAGAGGCCTATGCCCTGCAACCCCGCAGCGCCTTTCAGACGCACGCCCTACGCCCTGCGCCTTGGCGCCGGATGTAACCTGGCCAGATTTTGGTGTACCAGAACAATGATGGAAGGGACAGAGCAGACATCACATAACGCTACGTGAAATGGTCCGTTGCACGTGGCGAGCGGCAAGACTCGACCCAAATAGGCAAGAAAAGATAGTATTGTTGACATCGAACGCTCTAGATGTTCGTTGCCGATTGATCAAGTCAACTGGGTCGGAGAGGGTTCTCCACCAACCATTTACGCACCGTTGTTCCACTGAATCTCGAGAATCTCCTTGACAGTCGTGGTCTTGATCTCTGGGAACAAGTCGTTGAGAGATTTCTTCGGCTGGAAGTTGAATACCCCCTCTTCAAACCAACGTCCGAATGTGGAGAACAGACCTTGCAGAGCCTCCTTCGGGAAGAACGGGTAGGCGTACTGGTGGCTTGGGAGTTCTGTGATCTTGCCAGACTTCAAGGTTTCGATCGAGTCGTAAGACACCTCGATAGGTTTCCCTGCGCGGAAGAACGGATTAGCCACGGCGCACCCAGAAGTTGAACAGCCCCGAGGGCAAGAACATTCACCACATACCTCTGACCTGCTCCGCCGTCTTGACAAACTCATTCCATGTCACTTTGTCTCCGATGATGTAGGACTCGGGCTCCCACTTATCGAGTGTCAACAGCTTGGCCGTGAACTTGGCCACATCGCGTGTGTACGTGAAGATGACCGGTGTGTTCCCGCTTCCCGGAATCGCGGCTCTGTTAGCGGCAAGATCAAGGACGAGCGTGATGGGCTGAAGGTACGACTTGACATGCGGGAAACCCCAGTAATCAAGGAAGAAGCCGTTAGCAACAACGGTCCACTCAAGCTGCGTCTTGTCGAGCGCTTCGAAAAATGCGAGCTTGCTTGCGGCAATGGGAAACCAAGAATGCTCCGAGGTGTATTTGATGCCCCAAACGCTCGGTATATAACGTATGGTTGTGCTAGACTTTTGCGCCGCTTGAATGAGAGCAAGTTCCTGCTCTAGGGGAGCTTGTGAAGATAGTGCGGAGACGACAGTGAGAACGTTATTATCCTGGAGCTGCTTCGCCAGCTCGTCGGCATTCGAGTAGTCGGCCACAATAATTCGAGCACCGAGAGTCTTCTCAAGCTCCGAGTCGGCCTGATACATTGTTAAAGAAGTGTCAGAAGGGCGGAAAGAGCACTAAAAACCTTTCGGCTTAGGATAATGACGTTGAATTTACCATCGGCGGTGATCTCCTCAACGATGGCGCGACCAATACCGCCAGTACCGCCGGCAACAGCTACGACTGACGACATGATTGTTGCTTATCTGTGAAAAGAAGCTTGGTACCTGCAGTCTGCAGTGAAGAGAGAAGGCGGGCTGGAACGAAACAGGTTTGTAAATCAATATTGACGTTTAGGTTTGATCGCACGAAGTGTGCTCCTTTTATAAACTTTCAGTATCCGAATCCGAGCTTTGTAACCAACATCAACCCCGACAGCCTGTCACAAGCACCTCCGACATTCCGTGGCGCATAACATGTTTGTCAGTTACGGTTCGGCTATACTTAGAGATCTCCGCGTTGAACGTCACAGACCCCGCACCGCACGTCAGCTACATTGTGTCAGCTACCGCATGTCGGGGCCGTGGATGTAAAATACCCCCGATGATCCTCAACTCCGCAGTAGACACTCGGCACCATAAAGCTTCCCTTACGGCTCGGAACGCATGGTGTAATATACGGCTTTATGCCAAAATGCTTCAGCTCATGATGCAAAGACGGCCGCCAGTTTCATCATCGGGCAGTTCGTATGCTAAGTTATCGCTTGACTACACCACACCTCCGCAGCAACTCCGCAACCCCAACGCTTAGCATCAGAGTCGCGATGCTGCGGAAGCATTGGTCACACTCATGGCATGCTTTCTGCAACAAGACCTTCAATGGATTGAATGACCTACTTAAGGATCACGCGTGACGTTCATAATGTACGCAAGTGGTAGAGTTCATGAAGTGATGAGGGAAAGTCTCCTCAGATCAATACCAGTGACCAAGTTAAAACGCGCCCGAAACACCCCCGAAGAACCGCAATCGCGCGCCACTTCTCCAGGGCAAGCAAGGCTCTAGTGACCAGAGCTGCTTTCTGACGTATGATCCATGATGCATCACTAAAGCTCGAATAAACGTGCTTTTTCCAGCACAAAGTAGCAGAGAATGCGGCAGAAGAACCAGGCAGTTAACTTGTGGCTGCTGAGGCGAACCCCGCTCCCACTGTCGGCGTTGTTTTCACAGAGCCCAAAGCTTAAAGATCCCGTACGGTATACAATGAATTGACGATCGACGAAGTTGCATAAATGGCGTTTGAAATCTCGAGGCCACTGGAAATTGAAGCCGTTTCCCAAGGGCTGTAAAGGTTTGTCGTACCTCGACGTTACTCGTAAACTTTGTCGCTGTAGCTGGCAAGGAATAGCCCGCAACGATAAAGGGTAATCTGGCTTTGGCAGACTTGAAGGGAACATGTAGACCGACAATATTTCTGCTTGAGTTCAGGACAGACGAGAGACAAATAAGCTGCGTAATGAGATCGATGCCGAGGATTGTGTCAATCAGTGCATTGCCTGGATCTGAAATTTTGATCCCGGAAGCGGTTATACGGAAATCAATTTAGAGACTGACGAGGACAAACTTGGTGTCGGGTTGTCTGTATAGTAAATTCCCATCAGCCAAGCCACGAGACAAGCACCTACTGCTTAGGCATCGATATGGAATCTTTGAAGTCCTTCAACCAATTCTCATTATCTGCTGGTGTTTGATTCCACGGATCGTCGCTTCATGGCCATCGGTTAGCTGTCACGCTATAAACCACTGGATATTGGAAGATCTTTTACCAATCATAGAGGATCCATCGCGCCTGATTCTGAATCTCGAGATCTGTCGGCACATGTCTGTTAGGATTGCGCGGGGATATGGCACTCGAGATGAAGCGAGTGAGTTCCCTGATCAGGCGTCTGTAGTAGCTGTCGTCGACAAAGCCCGACGACCTCATCAATGGTGCTGCATCGCTACTTGGACCTGGCACAGTTTCCGCAAGCGTTGATGGGATACCGGTGTCAACGTCCAGACGATCTACGCACCCTTTTGCCCGAGTTTTAGAGGCAACATCGGAAGATAGTGGGCTTGTCTGTAACGCTTCATGCTCAGGGTAGGCGGGCGGTAGGCCTGCTCGCTCACGAAAAGTGATAAGCCAGCTCGTAGAACTGTAAGTCAAATTCACCAGCAGGTTCGCTAGCATGTCGGAAGGACTCGAAGAACATGTGGCCAATGACCATATGATGTTGCAAGCCTGTTGCTGGAGCAATTCGTTCGTGACATCTGCACCCTGTGTTGTCATACTCTTCACATACTCTTGCAACGCCCCCTCCATATGACAGCTCCCAAATATGTTCTCTTGCCCATGCGTGCGTAGATCCGTAAAGCGTGAACCGCTCCTAATGGGACGCGATTTGGCTTGTCTAGTGATATGCTCGGAAGACATGAGGAGGTCGCGAACCCACGAGGAAGCGGGAGAAATGGTATCGCGAGACAGAATTTCAGAGGCAAGAATGATGCAGCACAGTTCGTACTGGAGCTCTTGATTCGAAGGTAGCGTGTGATGGACATTGATGTGGCTTGAGCAGAAGTACTCAGTCTCCAGTTGTAAAAGCTCAAACGCCGTTGAGGGGCCGTCAGAGATCGTTTGCAAAGCCACGAATGGGCAGGGCGAATTTCGTTCATAATCTATGATGTCTGCACAGGAGTCAGAGAAAATCCCAAATCTGTTTGGGGCAGGCATCCGTATACTCACATGGTGCGATGGAGTTCTCCACCATCTCCAGCACACGAGGTTCGAAACCCCAGTCTCCCTCCCAGTCAGCCATTGTCATGCCATTTTTGAAGTGTTCTGCCAGATGATCCACTCGGTCTGTCCAAGTGCTCAAGGCGAGGCTACAGAAGCCACACCGGGACCGGACCTCCATCACCTCAGTCTTCCAGGATTTCATTAGTAGTGGTTCTAATTGAACCTGATGAATCAGTCTTAGATGCTGGCGTAGGTGGTCCTTTCGGTAGAATGTACGTTCCTCCGGGGTTCGGATATGACAAGCTTCGTAATTGTGGCTCTGCAAATGGGCGTCCATGTTGAAGCCCTCGACCACGCCACAATAAACACAAGCTGGCTCAAAATGGGCGTTTCGGAAAATAGGTCCATCTGGGGAGCATTCCCAGCGCTCTAGCGATAGATGAAGTGACTTTTCATGACGCTGCCAATTGTGCTTCGTTTTAAAGGTCTGCGTGCAAAAGGTACACTGGAATGGGTTCGAACTTTGTGAGAGAACGTCGTAAAGGCTAGTCGTCGTTGCCTGTTGATTCCTGTTCTGGCTCTGGGTTGGAATTTTGCGCGTTTTCCGCCTTCTGCGTTTTTCGGTTCTGTGTCGTGATTCCAGCGATCGGAGGGATACTCCCGACGTGTGCGAGTATGCAGAAGAGAGGGACGCAGAGTCCGACGTCGCCACGCTGCTCGCTGACGACCCATTACATACAATTCTTGGAGAGGCGCCTTGCGTGGCAAGGGAGTCCTCTTGATCATGGACTACCAGAGAGCTTGCAACAGCCCTCGCGATAGCGCTCATCTCAGCCGGTTCCTGGTCTGGGGGCGAGTTGGTCCATCTTTGAAAAGGATCCATCTGATCGCCAATCACGGCACCATGAGTTGAACGACCTGGTGATGGGGTGAATGGTATCGGGCTTGAAGATCTGTCCCGAGCTGCAGATTTACGTATGTTGATGTTCTTTGATCGCCGGCGGGCGTTGGCAAACCATGTCATGATCTGCTGTTTGCTGAGGTTGGTCTGCCTCTGGAACGCTTCGACCTCTTCAACTCGCGGGTATGGATTGTCCGAATGGGTTGACAGCCATGTCTTGAGTATTTTGATCGAAGCTGGTGAGAACCGCACGGCTGGCTGGACGATTGGCGTCGCCTGGTGCTGTCTCTTGACAAGATGCTGTGTTGTATCGTTGATGCCTGTTGTGTGGTGGGCATTGTCGCGCGCGGCGTCTTGAGAATATTCAAAATGGGCATTGACGAGACTGACTTGGAAATCGGTGGCATGTTCATCCAAAGGCTTTGTATTGGCGAGGAAATCGTCAACCAACCCAGGGTTCCAATCTGCCCCAAACGCGAGGTCGAGGAAGTCGTCGTCCAGGCCCTCGACCTGCCACGAATCGAGACTTTTCGGAAGTTCTTCCATCGCATTGGGCAAAGAAAACGTAAACGTCTTTATCACTCTCAAAGCTTGACGTAAGTTCTTGTGCTTCACCAGAGCGTCGAATGTTGGTCATTGAGCGACAAGAGTGTTCCATGGTAGGCATCGTATCTGGCGGGGTCAGGCCAAAGGGCGCGACGGCCCACTTTAATCATGTCAACCTCCCTCTTCTGATGTTGTGTCGAACGGACCTGGCCGAAAGCGGGCGCTAGTGATTCCGAAGATAGTTCGCCTAGATACCGTAGGTATCGTAATAAGTGAGGTCCATACGTCGTAGTCAAAATGATGAGTGGTTCTTATTCTATACTTCATTACCCACCAGTTGCTGCAGATAAGCCAGCCTCATCTACATCTCATCATAGCGCAAGCTGTTTGCTCCAGAGTGTCTTATACATGGTATCGGTTCTCAGAAGCTCCTCATGTGTCCCTTTCTCAACCAGCAGTCCTTTGTCCATCACTAGGATTTGGTCAGCCCCGACAATTGTCGAAAGTCGGTGGGCAATAACGAAGGTAGTTCGTTTGCGATCAGACTTGAAGGCTTCCAAGGCGCTTTGAATCATCGATTCTGTGTTTGTATCCACTGCGCTAGTCGCCTCGTCGAGGACAAGGATCTGGGGATCTCGGAGAATAATGCGGGCAATAGCCAGACGCTGCGTCTCGCCACCAGAAAGCTTCATTCCTTGCTCACCCACCTTGGTGCCATATCCATCCGGAAAGCCAATGATGCTCTCATGAATTGCAGCTGCTCGGCAAGCGGAATAAATATCCTCGTCGGTTGCAGAGAGCCTTGCGTACCGCAAATTGTCCATGATAGTACCATTGAAGAGCATGGGACTTTGTGGCACAACCCCTAAAGTGGTCCTTAACGAATCGAGAGTGATGTCTCGTATGTCATGACCATCGATGGTGATCCGGCCCCCTGTAACATCGTAGAAACGAAACAGTAACTTGGTGACTGATGATTTTCCAGCGCCTGTCGCGCCCACGATGGCGACGGTCTGGCCCGGTAGTGCAGAGAAGCTGACACCTTTAACGATGTCTCTGACGGAGTCGTAGGAGAAGCGTACGCTCTCAAAGTTGACATTTCCTTCGACATGCCCGATTGGGTATGCGTCCTCAGAGTCGACGATTGTCGGCTTAGCCTGCATGAGGTACAGCAGGCGTTCAGCATCAATCAAATCAGCCATCATCCAACGGTAGTTTTGCGAAAGAAACTTTAGCGGCCAAATGAGATAGCCCCAATACTCGATCAAGAAGACAAAGTCGCCTGTCTTGGCACGACCATGCGAAACTTCGTAAAAAACGATGCAAGACAGCGTGAAAAAGGTGAAGGGCTCCAGTAGCTCGACAAGGCCTTCTGTGCATATGTTGCGCAAACTCCATGTCCAGGTCGCCTTGAGCTTGGCTTCCAATGCTTGTCCGAATCGCCTGCGCTCGTAGTCGAACATGTTGAAATGCGACACCGTCGTCCAACCCTGCACAGCTTGATGCATAACCTTGGCCTGCTCGCGGTCGGCCTTGGCGGATTGACGACGTGGCTCAACGTTCCACCTCGACGATGTAATTTCGAGGCCAAGGAAGGAGGCAAAGGCGAACACCATAGGTACCGCAGCGTAGATGCCGAATTTCCAGTACAGCACCCCGATAGCCATTGTGAGATCTACCACCGTGGGCAGGATTTCGTTGACGGCAGTTTCCATAATGCTCATCAGGGCTCCTCCCTGCTCTAGGGCCTTCATGACCTCGGCCGAGTCCCTTTCAGAGTGAAAATCCATTGAAAGGTTCATGACATGAGAGAAAGCAGCATCTGTAACACGGCGTTCCGAAAACTGCTTGATTGGGACCTTAACAAGTTCTTGAATCAAACCGAGGCCTGATTTTGCATTCAAGATGCTGAGTATGAGCCAGATCAACAATTCGCGGTAAGGTGGCTCGCGACCCAAAAGCTTGTCTGCGACGACGCCCAGTTGGTGTGGAATGGCGATATTGAGGACGCGCTGGCCCGCCAGCGTCAAGAGCGAGACGAGTATGCAGGTCTGGACCCTAGGTTCGTTACTCGGTATGAGGTAGGGCGCAAAGATAGTGAAATCTTTCAGATAGCCTCGCCAGCCGCCAACCTGACGAAGTCGCTCAGCCCGCCTCTTCTTAATCTCGTGTTCCGACTCAGACTCGGAACCGGAACAAGAATCAGATTCGGAATCATGGTCGGTATTGTACTTCAAGTCGTTCTCAGTGTCGTGTAAACTTGGGCGGCCGCCCGTGTCGCAATCCGGAGGCAAGCTTCTCGAGGCATTATGGGCACCGTAATCGTTTGCTGCTCGCCTACTACCAAGAAGTGGCTCAGTCTGCGGGCTCGATTCGAAGGAATCCATCCCTTGGTTAATAAGAGAAGTACGGACGTGGAGATAGCCTTGCGGTTGGGCGTCGGAGGCAGGCCACGACAGGCTCGCCGCTTGGGTCAATGCAAATATCGAGGTGGATCAAGAAGCGCAATTTCAATATTCATGCGATCGCAAACAAGAGCCTTCGCGACTTATACTGACTGCAGGCTTCACGGTAGGGGGCCGGGGACGGCTGCCTAATGCGAAGAAGAAAAAAGGAAATGCATGGAGGTGACGCGGCTTGGCTCGGCCTGAGTCACCGGTCGCCGGCCCCGGAAGTAGGCGCAAGTTGGTGCCTGCGGAATTTTTATTTGGCCTGGTGAGGCGGAATTGGCTATGGTCAGCTCAACCTTCTAGAAGCTGGACTATAACAAGACAGTCCAAATCAGCATCGGGATGACCGATATTTGCAGCATGTGATTCCTTATTCCACGTGCCGGATCCTCTTGATCCCGATCTACCTGCTGAAGATCGAAACACATACTGACCAAAAGATATCCCCGGTCGCTGGCCGATGCAAAAGTCTCGCCGAGGCCAGCAATATTCCTTTGATGGCGCAGGGTGTTGTGCGAGATATACAGTCTTATCAGCCGACGACTGCGAGGTGTCATGTGCATCGAGTCCCTGATCGCGCATGTGTTTCATATGTCGATTGGGTGACTCGACTGAACGGGCCAGCTTTTCCTCCCGGCCATGACCTCAGTTTGTCCTTCGATGTTATGATAGGATGAGTGCCAAGACGTGCTCAGCGTGCAGGCTGCTGAAACATACGAGGATATGACTCGGTGGGTGCCCCCATCTGAGCGGGAACGGATCTATGTTGGAGAAGGTTTGACGTCAATGCACCTGGCATCCTCCCCTGCGAACAATTGGTCATCGCTGAATACTCTTTACCATTCGGCAGAGCCGGTTTCGTCTCGTCGATCTGGTGCCAATCGCTCGTGCACTGCCCAAGTACACCTGGGCCCAGAACCCAAATGCAATTCAAACCTTTGGGGATCCACGGTGAGATCAGCCACCCCGGTTGCTCAGACACTGAGCTGGTTCTGGCCTAAGGTTGCACTCGTATGCTGCCTGGCTAATGGTAAAAGTAGCAACATATGTAGGAATGCCGAGGCATCTTTGCTTAATTCGGTATGTCTACATGGGATGCCACGACCTCAAGGGCTTGAGTGAAACGATAACAGGTACTTCGACTTGTGGTGTCGATAATTGTGCCCACATATCGAAATCTTCTCAGAACTGCTAACGCACCTCGACTGCGCCGTCGGTCAAAATGATCGCAATCTTTTGCCCATTGTAGCCTCCTTACCTGCCATAGTACATGACCTTCGTCGCAGCAGACGTTCGACGCACGGCCGTTGCAAGAATCCCCGCAAGAACAGCCTCGATTGAGGTAGCTCATATAGGGGATCTAAGGATTAGCATTGACATGTCTACTGAAACGGCAACTGCTTCTGACTCGTAGAATGCTGCGCCTCGAATTGTCCCAGTAACCAGCATGGTATTTCACCAGGATGTGTTTTTACCTGATGAAGGAAATAACTTCGCATGATGCTCGCTTGATTGCCTGCAAAATTGTTAGCGCTGGGTAACGCACCTGGGGCTTACGGCTCGTTGTTGATGTTTCGGCCACTTCCGTTTTTAGAGGCTCACGATCGTAGAGAACCAGACTGCGGGCCCTGCGCCAATCGCTGAGCTCTCCAGACTGACTAGACTCTGGATGCAATAAAGGTATCTCAGTTTCAAAGCCCTGGCTCCAGGTTACTGAGTCAAACTTAATATCACAGGCTTGACCGTGCACAAACTGATGATGGCCGCACTGCGGTGCGGATGTCTTTGACTCAGCATACGAGCGCAGCCTGACTCCAGAGCATGGGTTTAGAAGACGTGACATAGCAGCAGCAATTTGTTGTACTGTGTCAGCGTCGGTGGTTAACAGAAATTAGTATAAAGCGTCATGTCTTGGCTCATTCTTCTTGACTATTTTGATCTCAGCAGCAACTCACTCACAGTATCTTCTACTCAAAATACCCCCTTCTGACTTTTTATATCGACACCGACATCCATCACCACCCAGACCAAGATCATCATGCAGCTTTTCGCTACCACAAGTCTCGGTTTTGCTTTGTTGAACAGCATGGCAAGCGGCGCTGCTCTGCCTGAGCCGGCTCCTTTGCCTGCTGTCGGCGATGTTAACCCCATCATTCCTCCTTCGAAACAGGAGACTTTGACAGGTCTCAAGGTAATTAACCGTACGATGTGAGTTTGAGAGACGAGACTGACCGCCATCGCAGGGCACTGATGGAAAGCTCACCATCGGACCAGAGCCTGTACCGGCCACGACCAGACTGGCCAAGCGTGCTGGACCCATTGTTGTGGTAGTTGGAATCGCCGGCACGGCAGCCGCTGGTATCATTGTCAAAATGGCGATCGAAATTGGCGCTGAAACTATCAAGAACTTGGGCGAGTGGAATGAGGTTAGTCTCCCAGCTCCTCACTTTTGATCTACGAATTTCAGGAAACAGTATAGGCTGACACAAATACCAACAAACAGGCTAGAGAGGCATTCACCAAGAAAACCACTCAGGAGATGTGGGACCGCAATCCCGACTACGCAAAGTTTCCCGCGGCTGCTTGCTACAACAAGGGTTATACCCTGGCGGACCCCGCCAAGATCGATGGTCTGCGCTCTGCCAAGTTTGAGCTGGGCCTGCTCAACACCGAGTTCGCCTCCCAAAGTGTTCTATAGTTCTGTGACCTCGCTAACACAAGCACTGCTAGCTACGACTGCATGTACATCCAAGGAGGCAACCAGTTCAGGACCAACTCCGAGGGCGGTTACATCAACGTAAGGGTCCCCGAGAATTTGCGGCGCTGAACATCATTCGCTGACAAATATTTAGCTTTCCTACACTTACGATCCTACTCGTTGCACCTTCGAGGGCAGCGGCGATCTGACCTGCAAATAAACAAGTCGAAGTCATTCAACAACTGATTTACCTGTCGGATTTTCTTTTGTGTACACCTGATGATCGACGGCACAGCGTTCGGCGCCACTCGTTTGGCTTTGCTTTTCATGTATCCTTTCGTTTTGATACGCTTAGACTGATAAAATGGAGATGTCTAGAAAATCTTATGAATGATGTATGATAATGTGCCGCGGGACCCAGTTGGTGTGACCAGGTATGACAGCGTTTGCCAACGGCCGGGTCGTAATACTGACTCCGCCACGCCCCTTCTTCTGGGTGGCAGTAGACTTGGTCGCGCTCAAGCTGAAGTTCGTGCAGTATGCCTCGGACCTTGGAATCAGAGCCCCAGGTGGCGAGCGAGGAAAGGTTTCAATCTAAATTGGCGGAAGTCGAGTTATCTATGCAACACGGTGTTATATCAACCAACCGAAGCTTCCACCAAGACTTCCCCACCGAATCCCTCAACACCTTTCCCACCCTCCACAGGAAATACTCTGCTTTGATTACTGTCAGGATGTACCTGTGTAATCACCGGACAGGGCGCCTCGGGGGGTTAGCCCACAGTGTTCGAGGTTACGGAGGCATAGACACAAGGGCTACGGGCAGCCCTTCTAGATGCGTAGAGCCAGAGTTTAGATTTACTTCCATTATAGGCCTGGTGACTAATTATCAGATCACTTACGGACAGCCTCTTCACTCTTCTCTCACACTCGATTTGACGCAAATACATCCCGCCTCCGAAATCCCACTTCTTGCATCACATTGTCATATCACCTCCCCTGCTACGTGTATCAAAGCATAACCCAATATTGCAGAGAAATAAGGATGTACGAAAGTACATACCAGCTTGCCACGAACTTCCAGTCAAGTGTTTCAATTGTCGGTGTCAGCCTGCCAAGAATTGCGATCAGATTTTGTCGAGAAGACTAAATCGGTTCAACTATTATAATCATATAGGACTGTTTCAAACGCTCGAGCATATTGATAGTCCTGTCTACCGACCTCGTGGACTCGCCATGCATCATGAGTATTGCCGACTTGCTAGGCACCTCGACGCATCATCAATGCACGTCAGGGTTGTGAGCACGGTGCTCGAGAAGGCCGCGCATTGTACAGACTTCTTCTGAGTGTGCGACATATGATAGTATTGCCGAGTACTAAGACATATTGACACAGGACAGCCCTTCAGCTACGTCACTACATGGAGTTCGGCTGAGACTGTGTCAGTGCCTCCAAGAATTGGGCATCGTCTGACCAATACGTTCTTTCGGTACTGAAAACGTGCACGTTACACGCCCTGAATGAGAGGAATTGATCTTCAAGACACGGGTGTTAAGTCAGCCGCTGACGGGAAAATACAGCCGAGACACAATAGTACATGGTATAAACATTCGACGCGGCCCGAGATCATCGAGACACGGCCAGCGGCAAGGATAGGGAATAAACCCGATAGGCTACATTATGAGTTGCAAGATCTCACCTACAGGTATTTATTAGCAGTAGGGTTGAATTTGGAAAAGAGTGAGAGATTATAAGTAGAGCCGGATAATCTGCAATCAACCAGGGTTTCCAGATACAGCTCTAGATACTGCATCACCTTCAAAGTCTTTAGTCCCATAACCACCTAGCTCGCTAGCAAACTCTCTTCCCGCCATCTCAATTGTTCAACAAACGATCAAGAAACGAAAAACATGCAGATCTCGATCATCATCCTCACGACCCTCGCAGGCTTCTGCCTAGGCACCCCTAGCCTCAAGGCTAGAGATATCAGGGAGCTGCAAGGCCGCCAGACCTGTGCGATTCCCAACCTCGGTTGCTACAATAATAGAGACTGCTGTGGCGGCCTCTCGTGCGACTTCAGCGAGAGCTGCTGCCTTCCCGACATCGACGACAGCGATTTCGGCAAGAGACAGAACTGCGGCTGCTGCCGCAAGTGAGATTCGTCGACGTTTTGGAAGAGTTCCAATGAAGGAAAGACTTCAATTAGTCGTTTCAGTCGTTTCATGGAATTCTGGAGGTTTCAAGTTGTTCCGAGGGTCATCAGGCTCGGGTGAAACTTTACGAATAGGACATTGGGCGAGTAGAGCGTATTAGTTGCAAAATAAATTCAACTCGCAGAACGCCAAAAAAACAACCATTATGACTGATATCCGACAAATTTGTAGCTCTATGAAACAAGTTTTCGAAACCGAATTCTGCTAGACTTCTCATGAAGACAAAGGACAGCCAAGATTCCGTCACGAAAATATAGGGCTAAGAGTGATAGTATCGTAATGAATACATTAGAGTCTATCACTGAGGATATAAGGTTGCGCGAATGCAATGGTCTTTGTCATGGTTGTAGAAGAAGCTGGCGCCAACCATCTTCTCTTCGGCGAATTACTGGGCTTGATTCTTGAGATATAGTAGCACTAGTAGTGTCGGCCATAAGATCTGAAACCCCCATTTCGCCGCCGTGAATAATGCCTCCTGATGGTTTGTGCTGCTATCATGGTACCGAAATGCCAAGATCTATATGGAGATCACAAGATTGAGAGGGGTCGCCTGCTCTTGGATTTTGGAGCTCCAAGTGAGGGCTTTAGCATATTGAGGAATTTGGTTGTAAGAGAGGTCAGTGGACTACATATTTGAATAACATCACTTATTCCCCTTGCTGAACACACCTCAATAGATAAAGATTTACTTGTCGTTCACTCGTCGTGAGGCTGATTCGACATGAGCATGTACAGTGTCGTGATGAGAACCGAATATCCCTTGTTTGCGGTGCGCAGCTTTGTCATGATGTTGTCCCTATAAATCTGGCAAAATATTACCCATGAGAAAGGTCAACAAACCTTGCACGGTTGGTGTGTCACACTATGAAAAATCTGCAGGTCTGAAGAAATGGCTGCCCTATGTTGCCCTAGTTCTTGGATTTCGCTGACTCCCTCTCCTGCTTCAGGTTTCATGTTACCCTCTGAAATTCTGTGTTCTTGTCCGTTCTATTTCCGGATCAAAACCATATCTTGTGATAAACATCATTAGGTTGTAAGTCCCATGGTCTCAATTGGATAAGCAAGATCAACTTCTCTTTATCTTGAATAGCTATTGCCGATGAGAGACAACCTAGATATCATTGTTACGGTGTATGCTTAATCCCAGTTGTCCCACGCCTCCTGAGTACACGGGAAGTTACAAGCCTTCCAGTAGCCACCCTCAACTCCCAGAAATCCACCCAACTCATTCTGCCTTTCTCCACAGTCCCATCCAGGCACATCACTGCCGTCAAGTCTGAGCCAGTCTGGTTCGGACACGCCATCCGAACCAATGTAGCTGGTACTAGCATGGAGGTCGCCGCTCTTGGGCACCTTGGGGTCGTCGAACACAACGTGGAATCCAGGACTTGTTGGCTCCCATTCCTTAATTGCGAGTGTTTTGCAGTTTGAATCAGTTACCACGGCGACTCGATCGGCTTCACCATTGCCAAGATTGGTGCCACTCCATTCCAGGGTGGTTCCGCCGGCGATGACAAAAACACAGTTGCCTTTCGGCGGCTGATTCTTCTCACAAGCTTGCTTGAAGTCGACAGGGTGGTCATCGCGCCGCGAGACGCTTGCCAAAGGCTTTGCGCTTGCGATAGCGGCAGAGGTGAGCAGGAAGGATGTAAGTTGCTGAAAATGCATGATGGTCTAAGAATTGCTGAGATGGTTTGGTGAAAGTTTAGTGTGATGGTAACGGTGGTAAAGGTAACGGTATTGTTTACTGGTGGCGTTGCTATGTGTGTGCTGTATCAAAGTCCCAGGTCTTAGAGCAGGGAGTGATCCAGCATTATATAGCGAATTTTGTGCGCGTTTAAAAACAATACTGAGGCCATTGACGTCTGCCCAGGCTGGAATCCAAATTCAAGTACGGCACTGCCCTTCGATCGTCGGTCACAATCCTTCGCGCTGGACGAAGCCCCATCACAGCCCCCAAAACAACGTTGGCAGCAGAATGCGCTGGCGGATCACAAACCATTCATGGGACCAAGCCATGTCGGCGGAACATTGGTAGTGGAAAATGTGCAACTCCATGATAACTAGTCCCAAGAATTGTGATACAGTATGACGCATGGTGAGACACAGTTGGAGGTCTCCCCTCATATAGTAGCATCCTGGCCCCCAAACCCGGAGTCCGTCGTCGATCATGGACTGGTTCGCGGAGATGTATACTGTTCAAGGGGAGGCATCCCGACATGGCAATCCTTCATGACGTAAAATGTCCCTTTGAATCGAAAATTGCGGCTGAAATGGTATCAATGTAAAAACTGTTAAAAGTTTACATGCCCATTAAACACGCGTACTTCCACTCCATTCATTGTCATAATGATACTAACGGTGCATTCAAACCCAACACGGCAACATTTTACGAAGAGGGGCTACTCATACTGGGACGTCATCGCTGCTATCTTAGAACGACCACAGCCGGTCATTAAACACTGTCAGCAAGCGGGTGCTCATATGTCTGGACGCAATCTTGCCATGAATTTCAGCGAACGAATATTCGACTACAACGGCACGGTTACGCGGCATGCCTGTCACCAAAATGTGTTCCGCACAATCGAAGACCATCGCTGTCTTGTCAAGTCCCATGTCGACCACGACCCCGAAACTCCAAGCGCTCAGACCATGCCACCCTTCTGTTCGCTAGGAACTGCCAAAAGTTCAATCAATGGGATGAGTCGATCGCTTTACACTCTTTGTGCATCTACGTATTGAACTGACAGGCAATATATTATCGAGGGCCTGTTTGTAGTTTCAGCTGCTCGTCGCATTTTGATTCCGACTGCTGAGGTTCAACCCCATCTTCATGGAGGAGCGAAATATTTTGGTCCCGCAGGATTTGGAGACACAGATCAAGGTCACCTACCTGAGTTGAAGTGTATGGTAGACAGAGTCATATGCAACTAGCTTTAGACGAAAACATATCTAAGTAAACGTTGGTCTGTTCAGGATCGGACTGGTCATCAATCGTATGGCCTTGACATTACAAACGGCGTGAGTGGCGAACACGGGGTAGCAAGGCATGAAAAATGATGCTTCTGCCGAAATAACAACAACGCTCCTCTATTCATCCACAGAAGCAACGCCTTCATCATGACAGACCTGGAAAGAGCAGTCAATTATCTTCTCCATGAACTCTCCTGGCGCCGGCAAAGCAAGCCACAGGCTCGTCAATGTGGCCACCACAAGCACAGGTATGACCAGCTCAAAGATCACTAAAAGCACCATGAGCGTTCGGCCCAGCTCCGCAGCTTGCAAGAATTGCTGTGCATCCGGACATCAGAAACAAAACTATCGCAACACATACTCGATTAAATCGGCGATATGCTCGTCGCAGAAAGAGGTACTAGGGTTCTCAAGCTGGCTAACACTATTCAGCCGTCGCATTCCTCAATAATCCGGTCTCAACAAAGATAGCCCTCTGGCGCGACGACATGAGGACCCTCATTAATGTGAACGCAATCGTCAACCCAGCGAATGAACAGGGGCTTGGATGCTTCCAGCCGTCACACTGATGTATCGAGAACGTTATTCATGCAACAACCATTCCTCGACTGCGCGACGAGTGCCGCCAAGCCATGAATGGACGGCTCACTGACTTGACTCCCGGCGAGAGCATCGCCATCAAGGGTACTGCCTGCCGTCTCGGCATGTTGTGCACGCTGTTGGACCCCAAATTGCACCGCAGTCAAAACCTATCACCAGTGAGAGGGATCAACTGGCTGCGTGCTGCAATTTTGCACTCGAGGCCGTTAAGACTCTACCTGTGCTGGACTCTGGGCGCAAAATCATTGGTTCCTGCTGCAATTACAGGTCTCTTCTCATTCCCATATTCCCTTGAAACAAAAATTGCGGTTTACGAGGTTTGGCAGTGGTTTATGCGACATCCTGACACTACGGTCACGGATTTGATCTTTGAAGTCTTTAAGGATGCCGACGAATTTGCCTGGAGACGTTCAAACCTCTTCAGGATGGGTGGGCGGCATAATTCCTACCTTGCGAAATGTTGCCAGCGCCTCAGATCGAGTGTCTTCCATCGAAACAGCCTGAGCTTGGCTCGCTTCAGCGGACACCATCTCGGTCAGTGTTGACGCCGAGCTTTTTGCAGCTGTAGGCTTGGGTTATAATAATAGGACCCTGTTCTCTCGTATCTTTCCCTCTTTCAAGAAGAGGCATGGTCTGTGAACAATGTATGGCGTATTTGGGTTTGATGGTTGTTTATCCGAACAGGACCGCTGGGGCTACTTTTTCACCCGCCTCGGCTTGGTCAAGAACTGACCGCGATCGGAGCTACATGACGGGCTCCTGTCCTGGTTACGCAGGTCCGGTGCCAGGGTTTATATCAGGACTTTGAATGCCGATGGCCTGTTTCTCGCCCATGGCTGGCCTGCAGAAAGTCTCTCCAGGCCTCAGGGGTCGTATACCGTACTGCAACGTCTTGCTCATTGCCGGCCTGAAGCAACGATGCCCTCAGAACCACTTCAGCTGGCAGCTGTCCGGCACTTAAATGCCTCTTCGCAACAGCTTACGGATTTCAGTCAAGGACCAAGATGCCAATACCGCGAGGGAGGACGTCCATCTGCGTGCGGGCTGGGTCACGGTTCAATTGGGCGCCTTTCGGAGGTGGCGAGGAGACGTTGGATCGATTCCGATCACATGTCGGACACAGAGTAAAAAGAACCGTCAAATTAGAACTGGGCGTGGGACTGAATGCTCCCAGTGTTTTGAGGTGGCTGAATGAAGATCTCCCTCGGCACTCAAGTGGCAATGTCCAACTCGTGAGACTAGGAATGGGGCCAGAAGCTGAAATCGACTCTGACTTGAAGAATGGGCAGCTCACAACAAGTATCAATAGATACATCAAGGTCTCGATTGAAAAGTTGCTAAGCTAGTAGACAGATCGCACGAAAGTTAAATGCATGAGTACATCAGGTCATAGTCTTCATCTTGCAACAACTACATAATGGTACTGCAGTCAAAGCACATTCCTACAGCTCAAGCAGGAGGTCTTGAGGTGACCGAGAATAGTCTGGTCTTGATAGTGCTTATGCAACGCTTCAGTACTTGACTCACTAGATATAATACACTTCTCTTTGGATCTGGCTGCTTTAGATTCATGAATAGGTAGCATCAGGTAGAAAATGTATCAGTCGGGCATACCTAGAGTTTAGGAATGAGAAGAGGGTGATGAAATGAAGTGGGTTGAACCCAACAAGATACACAAGGAACGTGAAATAAGCATGCAACACAGAGGACAGGGAACTATATTTGATAAAATAGCTAAGTTGATATAAAGTATTATGCAAGGCAGACAGCGTTCACTGTGAATGAATGCTACGATGTCCCGGTATAATCTGCTTGCGTCTTGATTATTCTTTCCAGTGGAGTGAAGTTTGGAATGATACTAACAGTGATCAAGGGCATGGATGGAGGGTAAAGAGGAAATTCAATCGCTACTCATATTCACTGTAACCTGTCCGCCCCCAATCGAACTTCCCCCCAAGTGCTGGTTGTATACATAATTTCCGAGAGATCAAGAAGAACGACCTCCCTGACCTACATTATCCCCCTTCGCAAGCCCTTGGCTCTGACCGCCGCTGCCGTTCAGGCCCTGGATACCGGCACCCTTCTCATGCTCAGGCATGGGCGCAGTCTTGTCTGCACGGGCGACATGTGAGTCCTACGATCGTTAGTGCGGTGTTCTGATGCTGGAAGGCAGGCTTTACCTTGACTTCACCAGCGCCGTGAATGATGTTTTGGCCGTTCTCAACGGCGTTGTCGGCAATATGACCTTCTCCCTGGCGAGGCATTTTTGGCAGTGTGTTCTTTAAAGACGAGAGCCGTGATATATATCGGGTTCGATATGGGATAGATACTTGAATGTTGATGAATGGCTACGAAAGATCCGCTGAAAAGAAGCTGACGCTGCATTTTAAAAGGACTCCAGATGCCGACCGCCGTCAGTGACATTGACGTCATGAGCAATTCGTTCTCCAATTCTTCAGAGGCCAAGAAACTTTGCGGCATCGTGAGGTTGGGCGACTACCGTGGAGAGCGTAACGTCATGGGCGGGTCAGCAGTAACCAGTATCGCGATGGCAACTGAGAAGAGTGCCCATGTGCTGTGGGCATCCCTACATCCACCGCCGGAGTGAAAGCTCCGTGCATTGCTCTGAGGGGTCTGGCTGGCTTGGCGTGTCTGCGACCTACACGCTACATCATCTGATTAACAGAGGTTCCAGAATCCGGGTGACCCCCGGCGATCTCGATTGATCATGGCTTACCACTCCTGTCTCAAAATTCGACTTTCGGAGTTTTCATTACTTGAAAGACACGGAACCGGGGGCACTCAAGAAAGTTCTGACTAAAAATGGAGGACTCCTCGTTTCCCTTAGGCAAAGTACTGGCCCGCAAAACCAGGCAAGATCTGCTGGCCTTCTGACGTCTCGTAGCTCGTCCCCTTCTTCTGCTGCCACTTTTGCTTCAGCGTCGTAAATTCTCCCATCGTCGGCACGGGGTGGCCGCCTGCTTCAAACTCGTTCCGCGTGAATCCCTCACGCTTGAGCACAGGCGAGTCGATCGTCTTGAGGACGAGATCGTTTTGCGGCCGCGCAAAATATAGCAGCCCCAGACGGTCGACGTGCCGCTGGTCCTTTGACGGCACAGAGACCTTGTAATTCAAGAGTTAGCATGCAACGTCAAGATGCACTGGCCAAAGCACCCACCCGGTGAACTGTCGACCTGATGTACCCGCCTGTCAGGAAGCTCAGCGCATCACACGTGTTGACGGTCAGACTGCCGTCGAGCGGCTTCGCCCACTTCCACTGGCCAGACTCGTGGTCACGGATCTGCAGCGCCGCCACCGGCTGCCGGAACAGCAACGTGATGGTGCCCAGGTCCGTGTGGCCCCTCGACCAGAGTCCGTCGCCGAGCTGGTCAATCTCTGCCTGTGAGAATTTCGCGTACTTCATGTACCGCAAATGGGATTCGTCGTGCGTTTTCCACCTGTGCACCTTCGTGAAGAAGTCTTCCGGAAGCTCGAGCGCCAGGGCAATCAGGTGGTTCAGCGGGTCGAGGACCTTGTCGTGGAGGTCCTTGGCAAAGGCGTCAATCTCGTCAAGGCGCTCTTCGAGGAGCTTGGGCACAGGCTGCGTGATGTGACCGGATTTAGCTATCAACTGGTCAGCGTCCCAATCTGCGTGTCGCAGTCGCAGCGCAAGACTTACTTGCCATGTTCCAGACTTCCGTCTTATCGTAGATGCCACCGCTTAGGAGCCGCCTACCCGCAGGTCGGTACCCATTGTAATCACCCGAGTCCAGGTCCGGTTCGTACTCGAGCTTCTCTTCGAGGGGAAGTTCATAAAAACGCTGGCCGAGGGCAAATTGCCGGTCGACTGCTTCCTGCGGAATGCCAAAGTTGGTGACGTAGAAGAAGCCCTTTGTACGGATGGCCTCGAGGAGCGTCTTGACGAGCTCCGCATTGCCTTCGGGTGTGCCATACTTCGCGAGGTCAATCGTCGCAACTGCGCGATATTCCGTGTTAGTGACCTTTGAAATTTCTGATTGCATCAAGTGAGAACTCACGGTCGGCCCAGTCCAGGTCCTCCTGCGTCTCCGAGACGTGGGTGTATTCGTACAGCTGAGGAACGGCTGACGGCATCTTGAAGAATCAACAGGCTTGATCGCGATGCCAGAATACCATCAATAAATGGTGAAAACATGAAAAGTGCCATGCCCAACCCCCAGATCTCATACGTCCTATCTTTATCGAAACGATTCCTGATTATCAATCGCAACACGCCTCTCCGAACCGGCAATCGGCAGCACCTCGAACACCGCGAACCACCCAACCACCACCAACACCAGACCTCCACCGATGCAACAGCAGGACAATGTCGTGATCTAGTATCTCCAGCGTTTCTCCGTGATGTGCCTCCCGTCCGGTCATGTGTTTGGACGATTCACCAATTGATCCCCGCATTCGTCATCTGGTATCGGATTGTGCAACCCGTCGGCCCCGCCCCTCCGCTCGCCGACCGCCACACCCAGACCCCGGGCTGTGCCGCACCGGCACCAGCACTGCTGTCGCACCGCATGTCAGCGTTGCAAAAGACGCCACCCCGTCGCAGCGCCGGGTTCGGAGCCAGTGGTGATGGGTAAGCCTGTACCTACACTGCGCCTGCAGATCCTGGCCCTTTCGTCCTTGGTCAGAATCAGGGTCTTCCGTTTGGGCGATCTTTTGGGGAGTCTGGGCCGCGACGTATTTCACCATCGGCTCTGCGATTGCGATGGTCCAGCCGGAAGTCGGTCTTGCTGCCGATTGGAGTCTGAAATCTTCTCCCGGCGGCCCTGAGCCTGACGAGGCGGGATCATATAAACTCGAATAGA